TTACATTTACGCACACGTGTTTGCAGGCATGTGTGCATGCATATGTATATACCTGTAGTCACACTGCAAGCATCTTTTACTATATACTTGTGATAAATGCTAGAGAAAAAAAAAATCTCTATTGCTTTATGACATCACATTCCCAAATGATTAATGAAACTCAGCCTCTGACACTCATTCACCTGTGTTGGCACTAAATTGAACCAGCACTCCAAAAAGAGGTTTCTGGGGCGAGGGTTTCACTCTGTGTAAAACCACACACGATTATTGTTACCAGATCTGCTAATGACAAGACAGCAGCAGATGGTATTCTCCAGGCAGATGCAAGAGAGCTATGCCTCCTCAGCTAATAGAACATAAGCCAACTTGAAACCAGAACTCCTGTGAAAATATAAGTGCAATCCTGAGCCTGAAATAATAAGCCTTTTGGATATTCAGCACATATCTATTTTGGCTGTGCTGGGATTGTCACACAGCTTTTATGGTGTCCTGCCACTTCATTTGTGGCTAGAGAAGAGGCTGTGCCTGCTGCAGTCTCCCATACGGATATGGATGATAGAGCTGCTCAGCTACACCCATGATGACAAACCAGCCCTAGGGTGTCATGCTGCACATTGCTGACACTCTCTCAACACACATTTGTCCTCTGCCAGCCCGCTGCACCCCGAAAATACCCAGGGATAATTTGAGGGACTAGTATGGATCAAGGGCCACTCTCAGCAGGCAGAAGAGACAAAACCATTCTCTCTGGGGAGAAAGGGGAGGAAAGGAAGGAAATTAACCACATGGTAAAAGTTGTGCTACAGCTTTTATCTGCAGGGACAGATGACAAGGTTTTCTTCATCTATTTGCTAAAAAGACAGACCCTCTGAAGTCTACTTCCCAGACTCTGACAAAGAATTCAGAGAGAAATTGTGAAGAACATAAAGATTCAGCAGTACACTGTTTTCTTCCTTATAAATACAATACTTGAAGCAGTTATTCAAGTGAACACTCATATAATTATGACACAGAAAATAAATAAGAGCCAGATATGTGAGAAAACTATAGGACCTAGCCATTATTCTACTCCTGGATCCCAAATGTACCTTATTTTGATGGACTGGGATGTTCTTTATATGAAGGTGAAACACTGTAAAAATGAAGTAAACAGAACTACATGTAAAGAGATAAATCAGGCCATATAGCTGTTGTAATGTACATTCTTTGTGCAAAACTGTCTATACTTTTGAGTTGCAGCCACTGGTTTTTAGTGATGTTTCTGCTCATCCTGTATTTTTCTTCATCTCCCCACTTTCCTCATATTTTGTTGTTGTGGTTTTAGGATTACTATAGGAAAATCAAAATAACCTTGTTCTTGGAGGATAGGCCAGGTGGTGTCTAAAGGTCCCTCCCAACCCAAACCCCTCTGTGATTCTAAATCTCAGCTACTCTCCTGTATAAGCCAAGTTTTACAAAAAGACCCATTGAAAAAAGAAACACTGGGTAGGTTTATTGGCTTCGAACAGATGGCTGAAAGGGACATCATGGAAAACATTTAAATGCTCAAAAAGGTATTGATTAAATGTAAACTAGATGGGCCTCAAGTGTTCAGATAGCCCAAACTCATGTTTTAGGGAACATGGAGAAAATAAATTCAACCAGAATATATATCTCATGGAAAAAGTGGAAAACATTAAACTCAATTCAAGAAGCAGTAGGCAGAAATAACACACATATGATGGTAAATTTACAGACTCCTTGAAATTTAATAATAGTAAATTTACTTATTGCCAGACACTGCTCTCTGAAACCTATTGCTGTGATCCAGAACATAAATTCTTCTCCAAATGCAGTCAAATGGCAAGTGTATGAGTTTACACTGTGTAAAGAAAGTTGTGCAGGTGTACTTTTGCAAAGAAAATCTGAGGATTATGGTGGAAAGCAGAGAAGAGGCCTTACTGTGTTCAAAGGGTTTTTTTGCAATTAAATTCTTTTTTTCAAACTTCCATTCTCAGACTCCTTCCTCCCTATCTCAGACTGTCTAAAGCTCTTCTTTTATGAGTGCCTCATACATGTGGTAACATAGCTGGGAATAGATATGCGTTTTTCCCCCAGAGAGATGCAAATTCTTTCTCAATTTTACTATTTACTAAAAAAATCCCAAGCCAAACAAACAACAAGCAAAAAAAGCTAAGAAGGAGTATTTTACCAAAATATTTCTAAGAATCTCAGAGTGAGTTTTATTCAGATCTCTTGATAGGGAATACAGAACAAGTTTTGATGGAGAGGGAGTCAAATATGAATTGAAAAAGAAAAATAAAATAAAACAAAAGAAAATAAACTAGAAAACAAAACCAAAAATTCCCTGCACATATTGCAGAATGTATTTGAGGGGAGAACAAGAAAACAATGGAAAGTTTCAGTGTCTGTATTTGCTCCTGAAACACAAATAATCTGAAGACTGTTTAGAAATGAATTATGCTGGATCTGCATCTTGGATCCACCTACTGTACAATGACTGAATTCTGTTAAATACATAAGGGAATGTCTGTGATAAACAAGACACTTTATCAATTTATCTCTGTCTTGGTGTGTTTCCTTAAATAACTGCAAAGTATACATAGGCAGTGAAGTTACCTCCAGAGTTAAATTCCTTCAGGCACTGCAGGAAAGGGCTGCAGAGGACAGGGGGAAACAACCACAACCAGAAACAGTCAGAGCTCCATAAAAGTGTGCTGAAAGGAGTTCTGAACTTGATGGGATTGCCCACCACACAGTGCAAAGCAATTATGATTACTCAGAGGATTTCACTGTCTTTTTTTGGGGCTAAGTGGCACCAATTCACATCTTGCATAAGAATCACCCCAAAATAATTTCAGTGACCATTTGGTATCACACTGCTCTTTGCCTCTTGCTCCATACCAGGGTCCTGCACGTGGCTGCAAAAACCAGGCTACAATTTAAACACTTGCCATCTGTGCAGGGCACGACTGCCATAAGAAATGCACAAATACCTTCTGGGGTGAGATTCCTTGGTGCTTATTGCATAAGAGAGACACATTTAGATGCACACTTTAATCTATATGGTTCTAATCCAGAACTGCTGGAAGTCAGTCCGAGGAATTCCATATTTTTCAGGCCATTGCATTCAGCTAAACTTTTGCCCAGCTGAATGATTTTAGGATGGTATTCCCAGCCAGGCCATCTTATGACTCCCTCGCTGCCTTTCTTGTCTAATTATCAGGGCAGTATTAAAAAAAAAAAAAAAAAAAAAAAAAGAATTAAAGCACTTCAAACCCCCTAAATACATCAGCATTGATTAATTGAATATTGAACATATCATATTGTACTTGAAGAGGAAGGAAGAAGTCACTGTGCAGAGTACCTGGTCTTCTGTTTGCTTAGTACAGTGAAGAGGTTAACCCAAAACTAAAAAAACAAATAAATTAAAAGGACACAAATTTCCTGAAATTTTCAATACCTCACAGGCTGAGGATTTGCAAATTTTGGAGTAAATGTGATGTGGAAGGCACAGTAGTTTGCACAAACTCCCCCAAAAAATGTGCTCCAAGGAATTTACTGCCCATCCAGGGCACTGCTCTATGACTGTACATGGACTGCTCCTGTGTCAGAAAGTGGAGTGCCTTCTATAATTAACAGATAACTCATCTTTGATAGCATGCCAAGAAAATAATAACTTTGCTACAGCAAAATGTAAAACTCTGTCAAAAGGAGGCATCTATCTGTTTCCACGAGACCCATGGTGATTAGTTTGGCCCTAATTAACAGCAGCTTTCTAAAGTGAGAGATAATTGCTGGCACATATAACATAGATTTCAATAGCTAAAATGAGCAATAACGAATACTCACTTTGAAGCTTGCCTGACAGAATGCTTAGACTACAAAAAGTTAAAGTAGTACCTTGACTACAGCTGATAAATGAGATTCCTTTACTGTCCTCCGCTTTCCATCAGTATTTCAGCACTATCACTTTTAATGCTTCAGGTCTGGAGCTTTGTCTCTTAAAGTCAGAGATTTATGGCAAGTAAGAAATGTCCATATTAAAAAGGTAAAAGGAGATTCAGATTATATCCTTTTCTGACCATTATAATTAATAGCTGGATCTTCAGTTGTAACTAATTGAACAGAGGTCAGTGTGTTGCCATGGTAATGCCCTAGCCAAGCAATTTTACCCATTTTCCAGTCTATTGCCCCTTTGCATAACCGCAAGTTATAAAATGTTTTAATTGCAAGATTTGCAAATGATGCAACATCTGGGCCGCAGATTTCCATATAAAGGAAGAAGATTAATGGGATTATTAACATATCTGTGCAAACCCTTGAAGTGCTGAATACAATTACTGAACACCAGCATTTTCACTGATCATCTGTGTGACATGTTGGAAATCCATATAACTAAGGAAGAAAATTGCAGATGTGTATTTTCCTTTCTTTATGCCACTAGTAATTAGAAGAAGTGTCATTCTATTGCTGATCTGGAATGATAGAGAAATATCTTCAGTCACTTCACCAGAACAGCAATGTAACTTCTTTACTTGTACTGTTGTTTCATTTGATTAGATTTGAAAACAAGTCATGTCAGTGAACCTCAAATTCTGATTAGTGATTTTGACCTTCTTAATCCAAAAACATACCAACAAATAGCAAGCAACCGGCCTTCCACTCTCTGCATGTCTAAACATTTTTAATAAAAGATAAGCTCCTTTTAACTAATCAAAATCAAATTGCTCCCCTAAAAATGACCCCAACATATACACATGGGATTCTAACATTACTCAAGAATTATATGGTAGTTGCATGAGCAAAATATTTTAAGAAAGCAAATTAAAAAGGGAATATTTGCATACACAGGCAAAAAAAAAAAAAAAAAGAAGAACATTTGAATACACAGTTTGAAATATCAACTCTCATGTTAGCGTATTTATATCACAATGGTCTGAAGAAAGTACAAACTTGCAGTCTGGTTGTTCTTCAGAAAAGCCAAGAGCTCTTTTGCCAAGACAGCTACAGATACTGTTCCTTCAAAAGCAGCAGAAAACTATTTCTCCTTTTCTCAGAATGCAGCAGAGTGGTCATGTGAAAGGCACGGGTGGCTTCCAAAACCCTGTCAATGACACTGGCAATTAAAAATCTCATCTAACTTACCCCACTCTTCAGCTATTGAAGAACTTGGCAAAATTTTCAAGCAAAATCAGGTGATTTAGTATTACAATTTCCATTATTAGAAAGGCTTAGATAATAAAGTAATTCCAATTTAGTTTGCTAAATAATTATAATGCCTAATTTATTCAATAGTCAATTAAAACTGTAAAATTCAAGGCTCAGTCCTGAAAATTCCATTATTAGAAAGGCTTAGATAATAAAGTAATTCCAATTTAGTTTGCTAAATAATTATAATGCCTAATTTATTCAAGAGTCAATTAAAACAGTATAAAATTCAATGCTCAGTCCTGAAACAAGCTTCAATCTCTGGGTACTATGAACTCAGCTCTGTTTAAGGTATACCTTGGGAATTTGTTTTAAAATGCAAAATCTATTGTCTGTACATTTGTGATGGGATCTACCATATTAGTTGGAAATATTTTTCCATGTTTTCTGACACTAAAACCATGGGGCTATGAGCAATATTTCTACCTAATTTAAAGATTAGGGCTTTTAAAATATTTTCCACTCATATGACTTGTCATGAATTCTTGTTAATACCACCTCATTACAAGACAAGAACTAGTCATTTATACTGATGTGAATTTAGAATCACTTCTGAAAACTTTGAGAAGGCCTCAGATCTGCTAAGCTAACATGAACTCCTCTTGTCTTGGTACAATGTCTTTGTGAGGGACATAGAACCACTCTGTTCCACACATCTGCAGAACAGCCCCCTTCCCTGACTAGGGAAATCTTCTCTCTTTGAAATACTTCCTTGATAAAAATGACAGGATATTGTAAATCATGCTTTGCCTAGATTTTCAAAAGGAATAATTCAACCTCTTCTGGACCCTGGACACTACAGAATAATGAAACAATTTTAAGATTTCTGACATGCCCACTGATGTAGATCTTAGTGATGCCTTTTGAGGATTTACCTGATTTCAAAATGTGGTGGCTTGACTCTGGCTGGATGCCAGGTGTCCAAGTCCTGTCTCTCCCCTCCTCAGCTGGACAGGGGAGAGAAAAATATAACAAAAGTTTTGAGGACTGGGATAATGGCAGGAGGACGTTACATCAACCTTGGTAACACAGCCAAAATCTAATCTTCAGAATCAGCTGATGTTTATGTGACCAAGTATGAAGTTCAGGAGGAGAAATTAGATGAAAATCACAAGAAACAAAAATTCAATATCAATTTAACAAAGAGGAAAGAAAATTAAAAATGCAATGTCAATTAAACTAAAAAAGAGGAATGAAAATTATAAAACTAATTGCAAAAATGGCACTTATTGCCAGATATCAATTTAACAAAGAGGAAAGAAAATTAAAAATGCAATGTCAATTAAATTAAAAAAGAGGAATGAAAATGATAAAACTAATTGCAAAAATGGCACAAAGATTATTGCCAAAAGATTTAGAAGATGGAAAATGTCATGCAAAGACTCCTGTATGTGTGTTGTTGTGCTCACATCCTGATGGGCTGTGCAGTCATGAAAAGACCCATGATGGAAGAAACTTATACCTGTGAGCAGCCTCTGCATAATCAACACCTTTTTTTTTGAGCTAAAGTCTTTTATCTCACTAATGAGTTGTACAATTCAACACAAAGCCTAAATGCTGCTGCTGTAAGTATATTATATGAGTCTTATTTATAAGGTATTTCCAGACATACAATTTAGTTTTTAAGACAGTTTAAACTATCTTAAATTATTAATTAAAAACCAGATAGTTTTTAATTCTCTTTAAAACAAACAGTAAAGATGTGGTTGTTATGACCCAAAAACCACAAACCCCACTTTGAATATGACCAGACAAGACACATCCTCTTCCACCTCAAAGAGCCAGCCAGGATAGGTCCCAGCAGATGGGGCAAATGTGGCAGATGAAAAAAACCACTACTAACAAAAGAAACCAAACTCTGAAGCATGTTTTTTACACTGTGCATCTCTGTGGGTGGTACAGGAATATACTTCTTACGAAGAACTCAAAAACATAGACCATAATTATCTTAATGATTTATTAATACACTAGAATTCTAAATCTGAAACTCAAAGACTATTCAGACAGCAAGAGACCAGATCTCATCCTGATGTGCCCACAGTAAAAACAGAATCTCACTGAAAAATTGATAACCTGAGGAGTCTCCACCTACCTCCACCTCAATGTGAGGATTTCGGCAAGTTCCCTATCCTATTAATTATCAATTCAGAAAACACTGTGGGATCTAATAAACTGTTTCTTACAAAGGGTTCCAGAATTAAATTGAAAGTATAAGGAAGGGAGGAGAAGCAGAGAAAAAGTACAAATTTCTGTGGTACACACCCCTGTATTTTATATTTCTAAGACTTGTGGAGACATCTGGAAATCATGCTTGTATACCTGAAGCTTGACATCCAATTATTGAAGTACCAAAAGAAGCAGAAGCTCAGGGAAAAGAGTGGCTTAAATAGCACTCTTCAATAGTTTCCTCTTACAAAACTTTTCCTGCTCACCAAAAATAAAGGTTGATTGTTTTCTTTATTTGAATGCAGTATAGGTTGTTGTACCTGTTTTAGTAAAATAAAAGAACTAATATGGGACTATGGGGTGGGAAATGTGGAATCTATGTATGCATGACACTGGTGATCTACAAAAGGAAATTTAGTGCTTAAGCTTTTTGGTTTCTCACAGTGCTGTTGAAAATGTTTTAAAATTACATCTCATAAATGAATCCTAATTTTATGCTCTAAATATTTTCTGGGTAAGATTGCCTTTCATAGATTTTTTTTTCATATTCTATTACAAATTTTTATTAGAGGAATAATTACAAGAAAAGGAGGATGATTAATAAAGTATCACTATTCTCCCACTGGCATTTCTGGCCTCATCAAAAGTGTCATTTTTTTGCATAATAGATTGACTCACACTTCAAGTGTGAAGCAACACTTGAAATTATCCATGCACATACTGATACATGTCCATATGTTTTTCCATCATTTCTCAAACAATAAGCCAAGGGCAAAATTCTGGTCTAGGAAACCTTCTAGAGTAATTCTTACATGTGTATTTTCCAACAAACATTCCACATCATTGAATACCACTAGATAATAAGCAGCATACAAAGAAGATCCTAAAACTACACTTACCAGAATACTGTAACATTTAAAAAAATGCATGAGATGCAGCAAAAAATATAAGAAAGTTACTAATTTTGCTCCCTGTGCAAGTCAGATTACAGATTTTTTATGATGTATTAAGAACTGGTGGTTATGCATGTCACATTACTTAGCATCAATTGAAAGTGACAGGATAAAGAAATCCAACAGAAAGAAAGGCTAAAATTATCTACCCCATCACCTACCACAGCAACTTCAGTGAAGCAGTAGATACTTTAGACCCTAATGCGAATGGAAAATAATTTTGTCTATTTATATTTATCTAATTCCAGGCTTGCCAGGTATCTAATAGGCAAGGTGTGATATTTAACGATTTAGCAGTAAACATATCAAAAAGTCAATTCAAACATTAATTTACCAAAGGAACAGCCAGCAGTAGAATATAATGAAAAATGTACTCAAAACGCATTTTACTTTAAAGCAGGCTATTTCAAGAGAACAGAAACAAACCAAGATTAAAATTAAATATTAAATTAAAATTTCAGAACCTGGCACATACATCAGCGTCCTGTGGATTAATTGGGAAAATTCATTTACTCTTAGGAGTCTCCACAATACATTATAATGCTTTCTCAGCCCCATTTCTCATCCTGATTTTTTTTTTTTTTGAGAGTGTTTGCTAATTGCAGTTCACAGTTCACCGGCCTGGCTGATGAACACTGGTTTTCCCAGGCACTGTAAGAAAACCCTGAAGGAAAACAGAAGGGCTTGGAGCACCCAAGGCAGGATGCAGGAACCCTGTGCCCCAGCCACAGAAGGATTTGAGGGCAGCAGAACTACCCCATCCCCATGCCTTCTGCCTGCTTTTTTCACCTCCCAATGCCTGCAGGAGGCCCAGCACCGCCTCAAGGATGCAGCAATGAGTCAGGACACAGGGGAAGCTTAAAAACATCCTGAAGGGTCACCTTCTCCCTTCTCATACTGCCTTAATTAAAGTCCTGGTTCTGCCATGCTTCCTCTGAGACTTCATTCTCTAGGGCACTCATCTCAGAAAATTCAAATTTCACCTGTGCTGCATATAAATCTTATAAAGCAGAATTTCCTTCATATTCTGCAGGGTTGTGTACTGTGTAGGAGAAAAGTTGCTTCAGGTGCCAGTTATCCTTTAGTTAAAAAAGGTATCAGTGCAAGATTAGAAAAAAAAATCTAGCAATTTTTTGAAGGGAGTGTACACTAGGTCAGAAGATAGAGGGACATGAAGTGAGAAGGAATCAATGTTTAAAAACTACAAAAGGAAACAGGAGAGGAAAAAAGAATCTGTATCTGAAAAGACTGTCTAAAGCAAGAACGATAGTTCAGGAGATTTTTTTATCTCCTTCAGGCATTTGTCCATTCCTGTTCAATTATTACTCAAGGAAAGAATCAGCTGTCACCAAAGATCATAGAATTACAAATTGGGTTGGGTTTGAAGGGACCTTAAAGATCACCCAGTTCCAATGCCTTTGCCATAGGCAGGAACACCTTCCACTGTCCCAGGCTGCTCAGAGCCCCATCCAACCTGGCCTTGGACAATTCCAGGAATGGGGCACCCACAGCTTCTCTGGGAAACCTGTGCCAGTGAATACACTCCAACAATAATGAAATTTTTTCCTAAAACCTAATTTAAACCTAGGCAAAAAGTTCATATTTAGCAGCTGAAATTTAGAGCAGACACTACTTTCTCACATATGGGAATCTGCTCTGGTGTGCAGTTGTGTATGTTAATGGATCAAAAGGAAACAACACAAAAAGAGAGATACAATAAAACACTCATAAGGCTTTTGTAGTCACACCAGGATGGGCAGCAGCAATATCTTTCGAATCACTGAGTGAAGAGAATTATGAAATCTTTCTGAAAAATGTTAGCTTCTTACACTTAAGACTGACTATATCTCATCTGAATAGTCATTTACTGGAAAACTGTCAGCCTTGAACCAAGAATTTCCAGAAGCTTACTGAGAACAGGTCGTGTAAAATATAAGCATTCAAAAAACCCCCCCAAACAAACCAACAAACAAAAAGCCACCAAAAAAAACATACAAAAAACCAAATAAAAACCGCCCAAACAAACCAAAAAACCCAACTAAACTACAAAATAAACTGGAAAACAAATGTCATGCTTCTCAAGAGTGACACTTCTTATTTTGCTGAAGACTATGTAACAACAAAGTACATACTTGAAATGTCAGAATATTCAGGTTTCTGTGCACCCCTAGATAGCAATGAGTATTAGCCTTATACACTGAAACTACCCTATATATATTAGTAGCTTTCTTTAGGAAACAACAAAGCACTCAACAAAACAGATCAAGAAAGCAGATGACACACATCTCATTCTTATAGCTAAGAAGTGCCTAATGAGGTCCTAATTTTGACCACAAAATACTGGCCTTTCCATTATCTAAGTCATTCACAATGGTGCTAAAATAATGTTTGGATTCAATGATCTTAGAGATATCTTCCAACCTTAATGATTACATGAAAATATGTACCTTTACAAAAGCACACAATTCCTATTCTGGGTACAACTGCACTTTTTAAAACCTTTTTGGGAGAATCACAAAACTCACAAAAAATCTGCCCTGGATTTTCAGATAAAAGCCCCCAAACAACACAACAAACTCACCTGACGTTTATGCTTTTACTAGCATTTACTACCAATCCCCTATCTTTTAAGTCTATGGAACTAATATAATTATTTTTAAACTGCTAGATTTTTTACTAAATTGGTGGGAGACAGGCTATATGCTTGCCTGGATTATCCTGTCTGTCCCAGTCTCATATTCTGAAACTGGATTTATTTTGGCTAAGATAGCAAAGCTACAACAAAAACACAGAGTGCACCTATTTGGTCTAGAACAACTACATCTTAATGTAAGCTTTATTTAAAATCAATCGAGGCACTTTAGAGGGGGCAAATATATTGATTTTGTGCCCCTGAAGGTGCTTATTTATCCTTCTTGACTGGAAAGGAACTTAGGGTAACTAGTTCAGAAACACAGGCTGTAGACTCCTAAAACTAAGAGGACTCCCACCCAAGGCACTTAGAAGCAGTCAGCTTTGCCATATATGTTTTCTACTCCACAGTGTATATTAAAGTTTGGTCATGCTCCTTTCCCTCAAGGTAGAGTGCAAAACTAGTTTGTTTTAAATCCCTGGTGAGACTCTTATTACAAGTAATTAAAGTTCAAGTCACAATCTCATAAATGATAATGAACTTTGAAGGCAGAAGAAAATTAAGTAACATTGGGAAGGCAATAATCAGACAGCTTGTCAAATTTATTTGTGGGAAAAGAAAAAAGCCCCACACCATAGTGTGGCATCAAGGGGGTGAAAATTTTAAGCAACCTTATTTTTGGTAGATGGGAAGCTGTGTTTTCAATTCTTACATCATGCATCACCAAACTAGCAGCACAAAGAAATGTGACCTCAACATACTGACAACACCTGGACAGTACTCCCTCACAACAAATAATTTATTTATTATTGCAAAATATCTACAGTAGAAATTCTTATTAAAAAAAGGAAAAAAAAAATCTAGATTGTGAGTATTTTATTTTCTGGTTTGGTTGTTGCTTTGTTATATTTCTAATGATTATTCAGAAGTACTACTGCCAATTGGGACATCACTAGGGTTACCTTTAGTTGAAGATAATTCTGCACTTGAGTGCAGTAATGTAATATATTTTATACTGCAAAGATTTAAAAAACATCTTCAACTAGAGGTTGTTTAGTCCTTTTTTAACTAAGAACTTGTTCTTAAAAGGGGTCTTGGTGCCTTTCATTGGATGCAATTATAGTTGACAACTTTCTCTCTCAAACATAATTTCTAGTTACTATTACTTGACAGTTTATCTATATACTTCTCTTTCAGTGCAGATTAAAGCATTTCAATTTTAATATATTTTAAATTCCATTAAGAAGTTCATTTGAGATAGTGATGAACACTGTTTTTTTCCCTCTTCATCTTGTATTATTCAAAATTTACTGAGAAAATATTATTCTCAAGTTCTTTTCTTGCTCCCTGTTTGCAGACCAAGAATTTAGTCACACAGAGACTTCAAATAAATATTTCTCTTCACAACAGGAGCCCAGATTTGACTCTAGCCATTCCATTATAGCTCAGCAGACTTGCTCATTTCACACCTGGAGGCAACTGATGGAACAACTCCATGGCAAAAAGCTCCATTAGTTCTTACAATTAAAGTTTATTGAACAGACTTAGGATCACCAAGAATCAGCTTCCAAACTGAAAATAAGTAAACATAAACTTTGCTTACCATCTGTTTCCTAACCTTGGTAAAAGGAAGCTGCAACTTCTATGGCAAGGTTAAAGAACAGCTATTGTTGAACTTAATGGAAAAGAACAGAGGAATTGTGTTGTTGGGTAAAGGAAAAGTGAACTGTGTCATATGTAGGTTTAATATTTAATGAATCTATATGGCTGCAATCCATTATGTGACAATTTAATTATATGACAAAAAAGTTTGATAAATAATATTGTGGTAGGACATCTAATTCATTATTTAACAAAAAAAATCAATACTTCCATAAATCATATTCCCACACACACACAGAGTAACACACACACAAGCTTTTTCAAGTAGGCAAAAATCCAGATACCATAGACCATTCATTTTCTGGCCAGGACAAGTTCAAATTGAAGTTTAATCAGGCCTAGATGGGAATGGATTTTATTTATTTTTTTTCAGCTGGTAGATCAGAAATGGTTGCTGTTAGATGCTTTTTACCTCTGACAGGTTCCTGAAAGTGCTGTATAGCTAGAAGGACTTTCTTTTCTATTTAACAGATTAAGACTCTTCTTAATCACATAAAAGTGCTCTTTGAGTCAGTGGGATCACTGGGGTGAGTAGCCAGGCAGGCAAAAAGTGTCCTCGGGATTAATGCTCAAGTTTAAACACAAGATCACAGTCAATAACAGGCAACAAAGAAGTCCTCCTGAAGGGAGGACCATGGTAATTTACAGAAAAGGAATCCTTTTTTCCTCCACAATCCCTTCAGATAAAAGCAGTGCCAGGGGAGTCCCCCCTGTAGCAGAGCAAAATTTTGCCAGGAGAAAACAGAGAATGAGGATGTCAGGCAGGCAGAGCTAAGCGGGGCACCAGGCATGAGGAAAAGGACAAGAGGACGTGCATTCCAAAATCCTGGATTCAGGAATCAAGAGTGGGGGAAATGACTGAAGGGAGCATGTGAAAGGAAACTGGGGATGAAGCACATGGGGAAGGATTGGCAACCAGCAGCTCTGAGATCTCTGTCTGTGGTTCAGATAATTAGTTTATTAGGAGCAAATGTTTCCTCTCCAGCCACTCAAAGTTCTCCCACCCTTCTATATGACTTGTGTTCATATCTATTGGTTTGTCATATCATTCCTGACATGACAACTCCAGCCCAAGCAGTACAACTCAAAGATTCAGTGTTTCCAAGTTATGGAAAATAACCCTAATTTACTTCAAAAGAATTATAGATTTAGTAGTTTGGCCCAATTCTGCTCCACTTGCAGGCCATCTTTGAATTTGAATATTGACTATGCATACGCTAGTGTTCTCAGGAAAATTGTTTCTTAAAAAATATTTTTAAAAATGAACACTATTACCGCTGTCCAGACTACTATTTATGTCAAATGTACTTATCACACAATTTAGGGCTGACTAGTTTGATGCTAATGCACTGAAATTTTTGTTTCATTCTGACAGCATTATCACTTTAACAACACTTTGTCACAGTGCTTTTGTTGCCTTCCAATTTTTTTAGCAAATGTAGTTGTTATTTAGTACTTGATCGAGGGAGTTCATTCTCCCCTCCTGAATTTATGCAATTATTTTTTCATTATGTTGCATCTTGGCTTTTGCTGCCTGGGATACTGTTCTCTGTCAAGGGTATTTTGTTGACTGGAGGTTTGAGGAATTTGTGTGGGCCCATATAAAAACTGTCCTCTCCTGGGCTACTCTGAAAAAAATTATTCATAGTACAAATACAAATATATATGTACATATACACACACGCATCTAAACAGGACAAATGCCAAATACCAGAAAAAAACCCATAGACTCCATCATTTTTTGGCTCATTAATTCCAAAAATGAATTTTACTTTTCTGAAAACTTTGGAAATATCTAAACACTTCAGCTTACATAATTTTATTTCCCAAATATTTAAATTATTCAGATTCTAGACCCACACTTTTGGTTTATTATTTTTTACTATTTTCAATTAGGTACTACATGTTTTCAGTTCTCTTGAATTCTGTGTTACAGCTTAGAATGTTGCAAATAACAGCAGAGAAATAATTGCAAGCTTACACTGCAGTGAAACATTTACTTCATTAAGCATATTTCTGACTTTTGAAAAGCAGTGTTTTCAAACAGTTTGCTTTGATTCTTTCTTTAGTCATTACCTAATCTTGATCAGCCAAATTGAATGGTTCCTAGTATGTGCCTTCTCTGCAATTTAATTGCAAAACCCAAAATTATCCAGAGACAAAGGTGGTATGAAAGTTTGTATTGAAACTGTATCTTATGTCTGTAATAAAAAAGTTTTAATCTCTTTTCTATTAAAAAAGAATACACAGGCAAGCTATGTTTACTTGTAAACAAATAATCTTATGTGCATGATATGCCAAGATAAGTAGAGTTCTGCTTCTTCTCCAATGTCATGAACAATGAAAGATGCTCACGTTCTCAAAAAATGTAAAAAAAAAAAATTATGGTTTTGCACTATTTATATGGCTTTGGAACGATTATTTTGAATCTTATATTAAGGGACAAATTGCATGAAGTCACGCACCATTTGTAACATCACCACAAATACATTACATCATATAACTGGATCTGCTTCCAGAACTTATTTCACACTGGTAGAAACCATTTCCTTTTGCACCTCATCTTTCTCAAAGTAATTATCAACCATCACCTGAACACTCATCTGCATATGTAGTAGGACATGAAAAATTGACTTAATTAGCACCTGGATAACAAGGATGAATTCCCACCCTAGACCAATGGCACAGCTGCACTGCATTCCTAGAGAGGGACAGCAGCAGTGCTCCTGTGATCCAAGTGTTAGCAGTTGATAAAGAAAGAGGAATGATAATAATTTTCAGCAAGACTGCTTGACAGCTTAGTGAGTGGCATTACAAAAGGCACCAGAATTTTTTGTTAGGACAAGAGTGAAAGCATTTTCAACCACCGAACACCTGAAAAGAAAAATCAAGGCCAGCATCTATGTTTTTCCGTGTACCTCCAGTACTAATTGCATAAATTCCAGTTCCAAAATAATAAATTGCTAAGTGACCCTGGAAGCATATTGGTTGTAAGAGAACAAAACCTGCAAAATAGTACGTGCACTGCCAGACCTTTTAGGAAGTGAAAAGGCAAATTCAAATCCTCAAGTCTCTTTCCCAGGGAAGAAATTGATCTGACCACATAAACTTCACTAGTAAATCAATATTCTCAATACAAAATATATTTACTGAATTGAGCACAGTGAGCTAGTAGAGTTTTGTACTCACTTACTGCTGGAGGAAGTTCAGCCTGGCCTGAGTTCTGATCCTACTGACATTCATAAGGACCCAAGGCACAAAGGCTTAAATAAGATTCCTGTGAAAATCACAGGTGATGTTAAGAAAGAGGGTGTGCCCAGAGCTCCATTACCTTAAGGGTAACTCCTGCACGTGGTACAAAACCCATCCTAATAGTGTGGGTGATCTGTGAAAAAAAAATAAAATAAAAAGTGCTACTTTAAGAAACATTCCATAAAGATTATGTGTTGCTCCTGACTGGAATGTATACTTTGCTAGGTTTGGCTCTTAGACCTGCTGATCTCCTTTGAGTTATATCAAGAATTTTAGCTGTATGTTCCTTCCCTTTCTCTATAGGGGTACGATTGGGGTCCAACTGTTATCTCAGATATTAATAAGTTGAGGTAATTATGCATTATACTCAATACAGAAAGATCCAGAAGTCATTAGTCATTAGTGTCTGATGAAGATTGTTATTAAAAGCACATTAGGCAAAATGGCAGCTAGAAATAAAATATCAAAGTCTCTCCAATTTGAAGGGTGCTTCACTAATTGAGAACAACTTCAGAAATAAGTGTGTGTCTGTGGGGTGTCCCTTAAATGCTGATCTCTGTCAAAAGAGACTTAATTCTCTGAGAGAGAATCTGGGTGAGCATCATGAGAGGAATCAGTGTGTCCTTGCACTGGAAGGCAGCCAAGTGCAGAACAGAGTCTCAGAGCTTATTCCAGTGAAGTGCTGATGCCTTTCTCCAACTGATGCCACAGATTGGAACATACAAGAAATGTTTTTAACTGCTGTTTTTGCACATTGCATTTCTAGATGCCTTAGTCCCATTGCCACATTTTTGACTGATTTCTACAGAAATATAAAAAAGAAACCTGATTTTTGTATTGCAACTGTTTGCTTCTTATTGATAAATTTTGAATTTTTTTCACTTGTTAGTTAAAAGTTATTCACCAAACCCCTTGGCTGCCCATTCCTACACAGAGAGATAATGCAAGACTTTCAAAGAAGCTGATCAATAAGAAACCACATTTCAGGTACCCCATCAGATCTATAACTGGCTAAGGAAAGAGTTTGGTGGAAAACATGAAATTCATATGCTTAGCATGTGAATATTCATTTATATTCTGAATGGACATTCTGGTGAATTTAACTATTTCCTAGAGTAAATATTTATTGTGCTTAATTTGGATAACAGACCTAGTTGGAAAGTTTCTATTCATCAACTTTTTAAAACAATCTCTTGTTCTAAATACTCTTCAAATTTAGGAAGAATACGTTTTCTTTTTACTCAGTTGTGTGTCACTGAGTTGGCACCAAGGTGCAACGTAGTGGTGATTCCATCTTCAGACACTGTGGAGGTGAGTAACATATCAGTACCCAACACAAAAATAAAAGCAGCATAGTAATAAAATATTAATGCTGTTCAAATGCAGTAACTCAAAACCATAGTTCATGTTTGAAACTTCATTTATGTTGGTCCTCAGCAATTCCATATCATAGAAGTAGTAATAAAATGATATTAGACATGTTTCTGTTTCTTTTTATACTGGGAATTTGGATCTACTTTCCAACAGCTAATGCTTTATTATCTCTTCTATTGCTTGTCCCTTAATGCCTTACTCTTAATTCTTCAACATGCCTTGCCATAAGGCAGAGATGGGAAGTAGCACATGGAAATATTATTTGTGCCACAAAAATGTAGCAGTGATGAAATAAAATATAAAGCTAATTAAAATTTTTCTTATGAGGATAAGACATTTTATTTGGTAATTTCTTTTTGACTTGCAGCAGGCTTAGAAATGGAGGAAGCAATAGTGTTTCAATTAACTTCCCTGAAATTGCAAAGGACACTGGGTATTTAATTTGGGCTTTAAGTCTTCTGTGCGTGTCTGACAAGCTGACCAATATGAAGGCCTTTCATGAAAATTACTGTATGTATCAAAGTTTTAAATTATTCATATGATGAAATGAAATGATCAACAAAACCACTGGATAATTAATGAAGTTGTCATCTTGACAAGACTAATAATAAGCTTCTTCTTGGTAAATAGTCAGTGATTCCTCTACTATAATCACAAAAGCAATTCTATTGTATGTTTATAAGCTCATAGAATAGAAATTTCAAACCTTAAAAGCAGTTGGTTGAGTTTTGCCAATAGTTCCATGATTTTATGTGATTTCATATAATTGGTTACTAAGTCAGTAGGTAGCTGCTATGCATGTAAATTTACCAAGGAAAACTAGAAGTGATGCAATGTACCTGGGAAAAAATTCTTTTCCTGATAACATTTTTAGGAGACATATTAAGAAGAAGCAACAGAAGTAATAAGATAGCTACTAAATCTAGTACCACTGTAATATGTGGAATGATCTGTGGATTTCTTATTCTTTAATTAAAGATTGTGTTGGTTTAATCATACAGCACTGCAGTAATAATGCTGTACTGGGCAGATGAAGACAAAGGGCATTAGCATAAGGCTACATCAAGTCAGATGCTGCAACACAGCTCCGTCAAGCCTCATCTATATATTTTATTATTATGCTGCTTTTATTTTTGTGCTGGGTACTGATAGGTTCCTCACTTCCACAGTGTCTGAAGATGGAAACATCATTACATTGCACCTTGGTACCAACTCATTGACACAAAACTGAGTAATAAGAAAATGTATTCTGATAGCAATGTTCTAAATTTTCTTCAAATATTTTGTAGAACAGGCCATAAAAAGCAGATTGCACCTGTGAGAAGAGTCCTGACAAGCATGGCAGGCTAAGACTTACCTAAAGACTTTATTTTCTTATCAATATCTGGAGTGAGAAGAAGTGGCTGGAAAGCATCTTTTGAAGGTCCAAGAATGTACAACTTCTTTCAGACTTTGCCTTCTTTAGTGATTTTTTTCCCCTCACTCATATTCGTAGAGTAATACCACAGTATCATTTGTGTTTCTGCTTTTCTAGCACTCTCTGCAGCATGTACACCTGGGTGAGTTTATCACTTTCCATTGCAGTAAGAATCATCTCCCTGAAGAACCTATGCACTCATTCCATTTTTTCAAAGCACAGAATCCGTACTCCACAATGCTGCTTATCACACCACTCCAACCTACAAATTCTAAGTTGGACTGGGCCATAAGTACCGGGAGCAGTGTATTTCTCTAAGTCTTTGAAAAATAAAATAAAGATAAATGTTCCCAGTGCTCTATTAGTTGGCTGTGAACACATATTTTCACACAAAATCTGGATACCATGAACCCTCTGGGCATTGGCATTTCCATTTTGATAAGGAAGGAATTTGCTTGTTATAGACAGAATCAGAGAGGAAAAGCAGCATATTCCAAACACTTCCAAAGACAAAACCCAAAACCTGCAATCTTTGATCTTTTTTGAAGATAGGTTGTAAAAATGCAGCTTTATGTCTTTCTCATTGATGAAAGTCATGTCAAGATTTTAACTCCTTACACTAAACCACCTAAGATGAAGTTAAAACTGCAGAATCTACACTGCAATCACTACAGGCACTCCAGACGCTCTCTGTGCCGTCCCAGGAACATCTGCTACTTTCTTCTGGGTAAAAATATGTTGTTTGTAACTTCTCTTCTGTCTACCCAGAGGCAGTGAAGGTTTTCCATTCCTTTTTAACTCTTTTGTGGCACGTTTTGTGTCCTTTTCTAGTCCCCACCAAGAGCTGCCCCATGCTGCTCTCATTAATTGTGTGAACATTTCCAGACCCCCCTGCTCTCAATGTGGTTTATTGATGCTCTGCACAGCAGAATACAAAGCAGACTTTTTCAATATTCACACAGAAAGTTCATAGCTTGTTACAACATGGGAAATCCCAAACCCATTCTGAAGGAAAATCAGCTTCCAACCAAGAGTGGCTATAACAAGGGAGATGAGGGAGAAGGAGGCTGCTGTACACACACACACACACACACACAGAGCAGGATTTTGGTGCCAAGTTCCAGTGCTTTGGGAATAGAGGTGGAAGCAGAGATGCATTTAGCTTCCTACCTGGGAAGCTGCCATGTGCAGATTAACAGCTATGATCCCACTGCACTGGGAGTAAGTAATGCAGAAATTTTGTCTCTCCTTTGTGGAAAGGAGCCTGTTCCTCAGATCATCAGCTCAACTTCTATGCTCACTACCAGATTCTAAAGCAACAAAGATTTTATTTTTGTAAGCATACCAAGAAAACTGTAGGGTACATACATTTATGATGCTCATTCTTTTGAAATCTAATTATGCAAACACAGTATAATGCATTTTGAGGGAGGTAAAGCCTCGATGGCCACATCACTGTGCCAGACCTTCTTTGGGCCATCTAGTCAGGCCATCTAGTTGTAGTGGAGAAACAGTTAAAGCAACTTTTGCTTGGGCATTTCTTTAAGTTTATTTGTGAAAACATATTCCAAGCATGTACGTTAAACATGGTAACTTGGCATTGCATTGGCAAATCTGGTCCTGTATCATTTGGATCCCAGATTTCACAACATCTTACACTCCACTCTCACAAAAAGCCAAAGGCAGTGTTTTTGTCAAGTGAGAAGGAGTGATATTCTGGGAGACAGGCAGCAGAGAATGCATAGCTGGCTGATTTTATTTGGAAGTAGATTGCAGGGATTAGGGTGTGGGGTTTGATTTTACAAAGTGCTAAGGGCTAACAAAAGCCACCATTTCAAGTTTTCTTTATTTCTTACACAAAATAATAGTTTCCTGATTGCCATGAGACAGCACACTAAAGTGTGAAAATACTGTAGCAGCTGTGGTGGTGGCAACACATGTCATTTCTGTGCATAGGCTGAGATTTTTCTCATGAGACTCTTAAATAGATGCAATGAAGCATTCAATACACACAGTTAATATCTAACAGTAATTCCTGCATGTGTTTGTGTGCTATACTGGCAATATCTGGAATGACTACCAGCTTTTACAAATAAAAGATAGGTATGACAATATCCTGCTAGGATTGAAATATATCCCAATCAAAACAGAAGGACTGACTTTTTTCCTGTGGTCTTTGTTT